ATAAGAACAATTTAATAACAAAAAAATAAAAGTAACACTGATAAAATAATAATATATGATTATATATATCGATAACAATCTATACAAACAAGCGATGTACAGGGTAACTGCTCACCACCTGCTGACTAACGCCTGTCCCATCCCGGCAAGCGATCCCGAAACAGGTAAATCCTGATACCACAATCCCAGACAAGTGAGAGGCCCGAAAGAGAGTGAGAGGGAGATCCTCGAGAGACCAAGAGAGCCCTCCAGAGAAAATTCCAAACTTCCCGATCAACCCTCATCGATATACTGGGCATGATGCTGCAGGATACAGAGTATTCCATTGGCCAATTTGTCCCTCAATCCTAAAACTAAGTTAAAATCCTAAGAGGAGTCGTGGGCCCTTTGTCCCAGCCACGCTCCCCCCAGCCTGGTGTGCTCCTGCACATGGCAAAACACAGGAAGCTGAAAGGTCCTGGATGTCTCAGCACCAACCATCAACACCAGTGCGCTATCAACGTTCTTCTCAGAACAAATCCCAGACTAAATCCAACACGCAGAGCTCTTCCAGCTGCTCTGCTAAACAGAAAAACTCTGTCTCAGCCGAAACCAGGACAGTGACAAAACCTAATGATGAATTAAGTCTCATGGAATTTACACATCCAGCTTACACCTCCCAGTAGGTTTTGTACTCCTCCTGGACCACAGGGTCGGTTCACAGCACCACTGATGAGATTTGCAGTTTGGCTGCAATTAGAAAGGCGGAGAGCAGAGCGGATACACCGGAACTGCCTTAGTAAGAAAAAAGGGATGGGGCAGACATACTACAACAGGGATCACGACCTCCTAGAAATTCATTATCACAGTCTGGAATTGTATGATGAAATCAGGACCTCGGTGCTGTACGTGTACCCACAGCCACAAAAAAACCAACAGCACACCTGCGAGGGATGGACTGAACCGCAGAGATGTGGTGAGCTGCCCCAGCAGAGGGGCACATCTAAGCTTGGGTGCCCTCCCTCAGCCCCACTTGCTGTGCCACGCCGTTTGAACGGGAACGTGGTCATTGCCTACGGAGTCAGAAAGGGCACAGGATCTGGTCTTCTCTTTTATGTAACAGCAAACCAACAGATTGCCCTAAGTAGCTCTCCCACTGCCTCACCCTTGTGCTGCTGACATCCGGGTTTCTGCTGAAGCTATAGCTGGAACATATTCACTTCACCCAGGAAATCAAACATTCCCTCGGCAAGCCTCAACACGCCAAGAGGTTAAAACGCAGGAGACCTTGTTCAGAAGAGGATTTTAACTCACTAGTTAGCATTTAAACACTGCACGTTTTCTACCGTGACTTAGCGCAAACACAGCTTAAAGATAAAATCCACGACCAAGCAAAGCACAAGGTACCACCTGTCTCTCCATTAGGCGGGCACCATGATATGAACACGACGTCTCTAGCCCTGACCTTGAGATGAAGGGCATGGAGACACTCAGATGTTGTGCAAGCTTCTGTGATTGATGTTAGGAGACAACCCTGTAGTCACACTCAGATTTCAATCCACTCAATAGCTACAGGAGAAAAAAAAAAATGATCTGGCTCAGAACAAAGGTGAACAGTTGCTTAAGCACAAACTCCTCAGAGGTGTCAAGGGCCACAGCTCCCTCCCACCCACTTCAGCGTGGCCACCCAGCTCTGCTGGCTCTCAGGATGACATATTGCAGGTGCCACGTGAGCCCACAGAGGAACAAGGACTCACAGATCCAGCCAGGTGTGCACCTCCGGTTTGCTTTGCTCAAGGAAACAGTCCTGCATTTTTCTCAAAGGGAATGAGGCTTGGCTATGGTCTCTTTCCACATTAAAAGCCCACTGGACCGTGGACCCCTCCTTAGCAAGCTCTACACATGAAGCAGAGCAAGCAAACAAAACCCATAAGTGCAAGATTTGTAAGACAATCTTCTGTTCTGGGCTAGAAACGATCAGTAATCCAAAACCAGACAAAATTGGAAATAAAACCTTTCAGGGAATCTATTAAGCACGAGGTATTTAATGCATGAGGTCTCTCTGGGGGGAAGCAGTTCAGCAACAAGGTGGACATAGAACGAGAAGCAGCAAGCACAGGCTTGCAAAAACAGAGCCCATTCTTCGTTACTACAAAATAAAAACAAAGCACCCACCACAACTTTTTCTCCAGAGCGCACAGGCAGACTGCCCAAAGAAAAGACCACGCATTTTTTCAGCTGCTTCTCAAGAAGAATGCTTTAAAGGAATTTGGGATATTTATTTATACAAAGTGCAAGCTCAGAAAGGACCAAGTTGGTGCCTCTGTGCCAGCCTACTTCTAAAAATAGCACTTTGGTTAATAGCAGTAATTAAGAGAAACAGGTTCTGATGGTTGTTACTGAACCATCACGTGGAGGAAACAAAGCAAACTGGAATTTCCTTCATTTTACAAGGACAGCTCTACCACCCTGGAGATTACGGACAGCACGCGAGTGGAACAGAATCACTTCTGATATTGATCGAAGTTTCCTTTTCAGCAAACCTCTGCTTTGCCCCCTCCTTGCCCACCCACGTCAGTCCTACAAGGAGCCAGCCACCTCGTTCCCTCCGGCTCCCGCGAAGCCCTGCCTGCCGCACCGGCTCCCAGGCAGACGTGGTGCCAGACAAAGTCTCCCATTATATCTGCACAATGGGGCCCCGAGGCACAGCTTCACGTCCAGTAAAGGAATGTGATTTTGCAGCATTTTTAATGTAATTCAATTTTATTGTGCCCGTGGGCGTTAGGAGGGCACGCAGCCTCCCTCTGCTGGCTAACAAAAACCCAACACTGCCGAAATGTGCCTGATCTGCAAGAGAGGAACCCGCTGGCAGAAGCGCCTGCCGTGCAACAAGCTGATGTCTTGCAATTTTGTTCATGTAAAGTCTGTCTCCTTCCTGTGGAATCAGGTCTTTGGAAATTTTGGAAAACAAGTAATTGTTTATCTTCTTACCACAAAAACTTCACAGAGCTCAGTACTGCAACCCAAAGCAGACATCCTCTCCCACAACAGTCTAAGCAGGTGTCAAACTCCCATGGAAAATTCATGTGAGGTGAAAATCCAAACGGAACTCCGCTGTGACAGGCACCCAAAACCACCATAAAAACCTTCTCAGCCCTTCCTTCGGCCCAGCTCTTCCCAGGATTATCCTTCTGAAATCCCCAACTTCTTCAGCACTATTTTTTCCAGGAATTTGCTTATGGAAAACCCAAAGCATTTCAACCGTTTGTTCAATCCCACAAGCACACAATACCATTAGAAAACTTATATACACGTATCAAACTTGGGCCAATGTGGAATGCAGTTAGAAAAACGCACGTGAATGGCACTGCATTTTTTTATTTTAAGTGTCTTTACACAATGAAAGATGTCGGAATGCAAGCTGTTAAACATTTTACACAGACACATTGACAACATTGCTTGCTTGATTTGCCTTATAAAACTGTTTCTGAAGGTTTTCCACTTATTCCTACTTACAGCAACTTCTACGATAGGGTAGAAATGAAACCATTAACAAAATATAAACACCACAGAAAATCCAAAATGGACTTCTGGAATTTTAAAATACACAAGCCTGATGGGCAATACAAGTTTTTTGTTGTTTTTTTTTTTTCTTCCTTTTTTTTTTAATAATGTGGAACAGTGAGACAGAGAAGTCAGACTTTGAGTGATTTTAATACCTGAAGAGATACATAAACATCACGCCTGTGGAGATAAGATGAACAAATACCATTTTCCTCCCTTTTTAATATATACTCTACCTGCCTCTGGAACAAGGACCTGCCTGCAGGATCCCATTTTGCAACTCGAAGCTGGTGGCAGGAAGGGATCACAAGCTGGCACAACACAGAGTGGAAAACTACCATGCCGATGCAAATCCATGACCATTACTTTTTCTCTCCTCCATCAACCAGTGAAAACACTTTTGAAAATTCAGTAAGCACGTCATGTAGAATTGAAACACACTAAAATGAAATTGAAGGCCAATTTCTGAATGATTTATATACATGAACATCAGCAGCCTGGTTTGTTCACAAATGATTTTTTCTTTTTTTTAATAGAAAAAAGAAGAATCTGTCTAGACTAAAAAAGGTTGGTTATAAAATAGCATAAAAGCATAGGAGCACGTGTCATTATAACGAGGCATATTTTCCTCCTACTAAACCACTTAACACAAGATCACAAAATTAAAGACCTATGTTTTAAAAGATGCATCCTGGTCTCGAAAGTAGCAGATGCTCTATCAGACAGACAAGAATGCCACCCAGGAAAAGACTTAATGAAAAACAGCAAACAAGGGCTGAAACTGCATAAAAACTGGCTAAGCCAGGCAACTGATTGTCTTAAAAAAGTACAAAACAGGCTGGAGAAGTTTAGGAGCACGAGTTAAAAATTAACCCTAGATGTTTTATCTCCTAACATAATTTAGTCACAACATAACAGTCACTGAATTCAGTTTTACATGTAGGCTGTCTCTAGGACTGTAGAGGAACAAACATCACCGTGTTTCCAGAGAGGATCAGAGGCAACACATTCCCATTTCCCTCTGCGTGTTGTCACTCACTCCTAATTAGGTGTCAGTGCAAACCGTTGGACCATCACAGACAGTAGCAGCAGTAGTGGTGGCCACAAGACTCGGAGTCTGTCTTCTCAGCGGCCTGGGGTTCTTCCTCCTGTGTTCTTCTCTGTGTAGTCAGCAAAACTACTTGAATTTAGTACCCTACGTGTATTTGTGCCTCATGTCAAATCAAAACCAAAACACTTGGCATTTCAGAGAAAAACAAAGATTCATCTTCACCTCAGAAGATGACTAGCTGGGAAGGAGCTTTAGTGTGAAGAGTACATTTCACTCGCATTTAACACTGGACTATTTGGAAGCTGTTGTACCAGTACAGATCAGCTTTTAATTGCCATACAAGGAACTTCCTTGAATCCGATTGTGACAGTAAGACAGACAGTATTTCAGCACTTGGTACATCACACTGTACAGTATAAAGAAAAAGGTAACATCTTAAAAAAAACCAAAACACAACCAGACTTCCTATTTTTCACTATTTCAAGTCAGGTGGATTTGCTACAGTTGGGGGACTAGTCCCTAAAATTAAAGTGCTTTTCAGAGCATTGGCATCCAAAGTCTTGAACATGAGAGACAACTACAAGTAAAATCTGTTGTCGCTATACGTAACATATAGCAGCAGTACAGACATCAACACACCTACTCTTTAAGTGGCTGATTTTTGACACCATCTCGAGCATCACACGATTTAACAGTGCATAGCACCCCCTACCTCCAGCGTACAATCGAACGCTTTAGATTCGCTCAGTACTGTTGTGGGTGGTTCTGGACGCCTTGTCTGCATGATCTTCTGTTTGGGATTTTTAATTTCATCTTCCTCTTCTGTCTCACTTTCACAGACATGAACAACTACACTAGGAGTTGATTCTGTTCCTGCATGAAGCTCGTACTTCTCCCCTGAAGAGCAGCAAACAAAAGTCATGCTAAGAACATCCCCATGGAACAATATCAAGCCACTTTATCTCAAAAACTCCTTAACAGCTGCAGTAACACGATCAAATATTCATTTATTCCCACCTCACCTTTAATTTGCTCAACATCCACACTTCAGACCTGTTAAATGCTTTAAAATAGTCCCTGTATCTGTTACACTGTACTTTGAACACAATCAATCTTTTAATTTATATTTAAAGGAAGGGAGGGATGTAAAAAACTATCGTGAAACACTGAAGGCAACAGAAGACAAGCAGCATGCAAATTTTTAAGTGACATCATTTATGCTGTGCATTTATTTATGATATTTGTAAATGAAAAGCTACAAAAGCATCTGAAAACATTACGCCTCCTGATCCCCTGCTTGTCACAGAAAGCCAACAGCATGTTTCCTACAAAAGCTCATAAAGAAGTTTTGATGATTAAACAAACAAACAAAAAAGCACGTATTAGCATCCTTAATAACCAGAGCTGTCCATCTGCAAAAGACTGAACTTTTCATTCCTTTTCTTGTTTGTTACTTAATACTGACACTACAATGAAATTCCATAAATGGATGGGATGGAGCTATTACCACAATCCGGTTCTGAGCTATACTTTCACACAATTAACAAATTAAGTACAAAAAGCGATGGATCATTTTATTCAAGGAAGAAACATCACAGAAGAGAGACTCAGTTTCTTCTCACAGAAAGAAAAATAAGTAGATAAATTCCTTCAGCTGCCTTTGAAGTTAAGTAACACAATGAAAGCAGGTCAATATTCCTACCTGGTCCCAACTTGGAGACAGCACAAAGCAAGTCATAGTTTATCAGGGGAGTTGCATCTTCACTCTGCTTCCACCCAACCGGTGGAGATGCAGGAGGTGATATCAGGAACTGTTTAACAGGTTGTGGAGGAAGAAGGTAGGACTTGTCACCTATTTCACCAGATACCTGTGCCTGAAGACAAAAGCCAGGAGATACAGAGTAAGATAATTATTCATTCTCTTTTTTGCTTAGTCTGCTTCCTCGATAATGCAGGCCCATCCTCCCTATTAGCAACGCCTAATTGAGCCTGGCTTTAAAAACAGTAGTACAGCGTTTGTCAGTTCCTGGTATGACACCTTGGAGAATGCTGCAGGCAAGAAAGGCCTCTGTGAGTGCTGACCACATACCTGTGTGACACACACGAGCTGCTAATCCCACAAGAACAGACCTGTACACACCTATTATAAAGGGATCTTTGGATGCCCTTATTTTCCTGCCACATATTTCTGTTTAGGAATGGGGAAGGCCGTTTGTGTCACTACAGCGACTGTTCCACACCAGTTACAACTCTGTAACCTCAAGCTGAAAAGCCAAACTGTCCCCTAAAGCATGAATTCCTCCACGAGCAAAAGCAACACAGCTCAGTGTAGAAGACTGAGGCTGAAGGTAAATTCAGATATTTATCAGGAATGAAGCTCGTGGGCAAAAGTGGAACAAGGAAGAAGCAGGGACACGTGTACAACATTTTAGTGTTCCAAAATACCTGTGCAAAGTACAGCTTCAGCTTCTTTCCATTGAAATCGGTTTCATGCAGTTCTATCCGTGCTCTCGCTGCTGCCTCTGGATTGCTGAAGTTTATCCTTACTCTTCTAAAGCTTTTAAACAACTGGAATGTAACTTGATCGTCGTAGACTGTGAAAAGTGCTTCAAATCTTTCCTAGATATGAAGCACAAAGATTCTCCAAACACGAAATGAACAATTTTACTCAATGAAAAGACATTTTCCTTTCGCTTTCCTCTCCCAAATCTCATTCATTTCCTTAATCGCCTTCTAAACCTGCACGTTTCAAACCTCCCTCAGTTACACAGACTGCTGTGTCTCATTATTGAAATCTGAATTCCAAGAGCACACTGATGGGAACAAGCCTATAAAACTCTTCATACACAAACTGCCACCTCGTGACAGTTACTCAAAAGTGCAGATGTCAACAAAAACACTGGGACTTGCACATGACTTTCACCCAAGCATCTCAAAAAATACTGTGCAAATTTTTATATTAGACAAAATAAAGTACTGAGTGCTTAAGGAAAATGTCAACATTCTCAGGATGAATGAATAAGACTACTTTGAAAGAGACAAAAAATCTATTATTACTAAATGACACTTGTTCACAAAAATAAAAAATTGAAAAAAATCATGTTTTATTGAATACAAAAATCTTATCCTCAAGTTCTTTACAAAATATTAACTGCATTGTTATGAAACTCAATCTGGTTTAATGTACTAGTTCTCTGATCTACAACAGACCTAATCTGCAGATTTTTTTTTTTTCCCCCTAGCATAAATGCATTAGGAAATTTGGTGTAAATTTTCATTCCCTGTAACATGTCAGATTAAAATCAATAGATAAGAAGTATGCAAGCAATCTCTTTTCAATTTTATTTACTATGTTCTGATAATATTCAGTTATTTAGAGAGATCTACATAAGCAAATAAGCAGAAAAGGAATACTTTGTCATTAGGATTCTTTCCAATTACAAATTAGTTTGCTTGATTCCAGTAGACACTGTCGTCTTTAAAAGAATCCTGTCGATGCCTTCCTCCCTGGAAAAATAATTACAGGATGAGGGGCTTTCATTTTAAACAGGACTGAAGAAATTCTTCAGATGATGCCCATGTTAGTTTTAACAAAAATGCTATTTTCTTGTGCATTTCTCTCCAATCTCTACAACATCAAGGTCTTTAATAAAGCAGAAAACGTGTTCCTTCCGCACACTGGCCAAGTTTTGTACCTGACAAACACAAAACTGCAATCTAGTGGATCAACCCTGCAACTGAAAATGATGAAGACAGCGTGTTCCAATCATGACATTATCTCAAAAAGGGGAATATTTGGGAAAGAAACAATTTGTACTTTTACTTTGAATTTTTGACCTTTTGTTTTTGAACTAGACTTGAAAAAAACACTTTTAGATGTTATGTAAAAGATAAAATTACTAGAAGATGTATGTCAACTTAGCCACCTGACAGTTTTTCTGTAAAGATACTGCGCATACAACCTACAACACTTAAACTACAGTGGAAACTGAGGGCATTAAATTCAACAACTTAACGTTAGGCAGCAAAACCACCAGGGCCACCAAAAAACCCACACAGACCTGCCCTCCTCCCCCAAAAAACAAACCTCAAAACCACCATGAATTTTCAAAGTGCTTTCTATTCCTGCTCAGACAGCACAATTTCCTTTTGTTCCATGAACTGTTTGCTGTGTGTTCAGCCTTTAAAAGAAGAAACTCAAGCCATGGCAATGTGTGTCCAGGGGCTGACTGAGCTGAATTTCACAAAACAGATAAAAGCCACATAATATATCAAAGCACCTCTATTCTTCTGAGCAGCAGGAAGAAGCCTGCACAGTAAACGTTCAATTTATAGATATAATATATAATTCTGACCTATTCTAAACTAGTGTCTTGACTATGACAATCAGATGAGCTTGCTGACAGTACAATCAGTACACTTTGCAAACTATATCTGAAATGAAAAATTTTAAATGTTAAACTTGTGGTTAAATTTACAAGTGGTTTAATGTGGCAACTAATTATCCCAGTATCATTAGAGAAAAAGCTAGCACGTGTCCCTCGAGACACCTCATATGCACAGGCATGCTGGGGGAATACTTTCACAAAAAACGTCGAATTAATTTGTCATTAAAATGACAAAAAACAATTCAGTGAGGCAACACTTTCAGCGCACGCTTTCTACACCAGACACAGAGTGAAAATAGTCCCGTGCGTTATTTAATGTTCCATTGATTAACTCATGCTTTACTACCTCTTCCAAGGGTACTAACTACTGAAACGAATGGAGTACTCCCTACTTACAACAGTCTTTTGAACTAGAAGCTGATCTAGAAGAAACAGTAACAATTTAAATTAGTCATCAGTGAGTTAAAAGTTTTATCTAGAAAGGGACACGTCATCTTGCCTTTTGTTAAAAAAAAATAAAAATTAGATGACATGATTTACACACTCCTGTGCACTGCCTGTTTTGTTCTCCAGTAAAAGCAGCACTAATACACAAGGCTAGAAATTAATTCTTCCACTGATGTGCACAGGGTAGCAACAACTGTGCTCTTTGAAGAGAAGCATTTAACATCAGCCAGATAAATAATGGCTCAGGAACTGTATCTCATTCGCTCTATAAAACTCGGAAAGAAAAAATAAAGCGTTGTGTCTGAAAACAAGCCACTAAAGACTCAACAACCTTGCCTGGCACCTGCCTTTCACACCCATAAGAATACAAGTAAAACAAACCACAAGAGCAACAGCTCTCATTCTTTACTGTCCTCCTCTCTACTCAAAAGGAGATCCATAAACCACTTTACAAACTGTTTATGCGACACCATGTGAGCGTTCTCAACGAATCACTATTCCTTTTATTTTTATTTTTCATTTGTTAGGGCCACCTGCTTAGGAATTCAGCTGACAGTAAATATTTGAAAGACTGACTTAAGCACACAGTTTAACAACTCTGAGGCACAGAGCAGCAGTTCCCATCTGACACCACACCTTTCCCTCAGATGTTGAAAACATTTCAGCAAAGCTGTAGGCTTCTTTTAGTACTTTTGTAAACTGAAACTGAAGAAGCCACAGACCAAAGCTTTCCTAACAGCCCCTCCTATTTTCTCTCACTCATGTAGTGTACATAATCATTCCTGATGCTCTTGGAAGCAAAGGGCAAGTACAGATTTGACTGAATACAAATGTTAGCAAGCCAGAGAAGATTTAGTTTATTGTAAGGTCTTTATAAGCCACTTTCAAGGTGTTTGAGTCACAACACACACCCTGCAAATTTATAATGCTCTTTTAACAGAATCCTTGCCTTGAAAAAAAACATTTATATTTCCTTTCAGATTTTATTTAAATCTGCCCTTGGATAAAGAGAAAAAAAAAAATCAGAAGAGCTTTTCATGGGAGAAGCACTGCACATCCATTAACAATTTCACACTCCAGAAAAGTGCAGTATTATCTGCCCTTTGGTAACTGTTCTCATTCTGATCTGAGACTACCAAGTAAATACCTTGGGTTGCTTCCTCCCCCCCCCCCCCCA